TACTAAAAGAAGAGAAAGAAAGGAATAATTCTTCTAAGGGTACTTGGTACAAGGACCCTAATTATGAGGCATTCTCGGCAGAAGTTGGAGATGAATTAGAAATTGATGTTGCAGAAGTCAATATCAAAAAGCCATACGTTTGTGAGGCATTGGTTAAACCTAAACCGACTACGGGGGGCAATGCATCATCATCATCAACATCGGCAGCAAGGAAAGGTCCTGCCGATACCAGGAAGAGTTATTCGTTCGACTTGTCAAAAACAGATCAAATCTTTGATCACTTGATGGCCGATAAGATGATAGCTTCGCCTAAAGGGCATAAGATTCCATCGGCAAGTGACTTGAAAGGAAAAGAGTATTGTAAGTATCATAACTCTTGGAACCATGCTACTAATGATTGTACTATTCTACGAGGTGTATTGCAGAAAACTATCGATGAAGGTACTTTAAAGTTCCCAACTTCAGAGACCATGAAGGTGGATATCAATCCATTCCCCACGATCACGTCTACTAATGTGATAAGCTTAGTCAAGCGAAATAATCGGCAGGAGACTGAAAAGATATCTGGTGAGTTCTTTTCATTAATTGCGACACCTGAAAAGATGGCAGAATTGCAGAAGCAATTAAAGGAGGCTCAATTAGCCTTGATTGACCATGGTTGTTGCCCAAATTACAAAGGAAAGAAAAAACCAAAGGAAGATGTGCCAATGGAGGTTCAACCAAAGAAGAAATAAATTCTTGAGAGGCTTATTTTCCCATTGAAACCTGGGGAGGAGCTTTGGCAAAGTGGTACCAGCAACAGTCATTTGAAAGTGGGAAGGCCAACTCGACAAGTAGATATATCTAGCCGATTTCATCCCCAAAATTGGCATCCCAGTTTTAAAAGACAGTCGCCGGTTTAGTCAGAAATTTAGGTACAGAAAGGAGCCGATTCATATAGAGTACGAACTCTGAAACCAATGATAGACTCAACTGAAGATAGATGGACTCGAGTTAATAATCCAAAATTCCCTAAAGCACAACAATATTAGAATGGGGGCCTAACTCGATCTCAGAAACGTAGGGAACAAAGGAGAAGGGCTGAGAAAAAAAGGAAAGTTGAGGAAGGAGGCAAAGTAGTGCAAACAGAGGAAGTCGATTCCAGATAAAGATAAGGAGCCTTAGCCGACGTGGCCCAGACGCAACAACGAGTTCAGAATTAAGTTTGGCAGTTTCCCAGATGAGATGTCATGTAACATGGCATTTGTATTACCAGCAATGTTTCAGGCTCCATCGGCATCAAACGCTAATACTGAGAGGAATGAGAAGGAAACTCAGCCGATTCGGAATTTATCAATTCTTTCCTCAGAATCGGCAAGAAAGTGGTTTTTGAAAAACCTTTGTTAGCAATGACTCAACAGCTCAGGCCTTTGTATGTTAAGGTATGGGTAGAAGGTCAACCTATTAATCGAGTCTTGGTAGACAATGGCTCGGTTCTGAATGTTATTCCAGCAAACACATTGAAGAAACTCGGCAAGAGTATGGAAAATGTTATTCCTACTGATGTAGCAATTTGTGGCTTCAACGGAGATTCTACTAGCACTAAAGGGATCCTTCCCTTAGAAGTAGGAGTTGGAGGTAGGACATCTTTTGCGGCATTCTTTATTATTGAATCCACGGCTTCTTATAATTTGTTATTAGGCCGTGATTGGATTCTTCCAAATATGTGTATTCCATCATCATTACACCAGATGCTGATTTTTTGGGATGGAGATAAGGTAAAGATAGTGAATGCCGATGATAAGCCATTTATGGCAAAGGTATACTCGGCAGATGCGGTTTTGTATGATGAAGAGCGTATTCTTGTTTGATTTGTGGGAACAGGAGCAGATTGAAGACCTATATCGGCAACCATGAGAAGAAGTTTTGCCGATCGCGAAATCGGCAAGTTGCAGCAGGAGAATTCTAGGCCGAAGGTAGAACTCCCTCGGTTTGCTATAATTGAAGAAGTTGTTGATGGAAGCGAAACTTGAAAGGGAAGCTGCTCAGCAGCAGGCCTTCAGGGCCCCTTACATTGGGCTTCAAGCATACATAGCTGAAAAATGGCTAGAAAATGAAGCAATAATAGAGCCAGGACCATCGGTTAATCTTACTGAGATCGATCGGTTCAATAATGAAAAGTTGGATGCAATTCAGTTGGAAGACTTGGAATTAGCACCAGCTAAGCTCGATGATCTTAAAGCAGAAATTCAGGATCTATTAAAGGATATGAATTTAGGCACTGACGCAGAGCCTAGACCAACTTATATTAGTGCATTGTTAGAACCAAAATTACAAGCCGAGGTTATCGCCATGTTGAAGCAATATAGTGATTATTTTGCTTGGAATTATGAGGAAATGCCGGGTTTATTCAGAGATCTGGTGGAACAACGGCTACCCATTAAAGATGGCTACAAGCCATATAAACAGCCACCTCGTCGAATGTCTCAAGAGGTGGTAGATAAAGTCAAAGTAGAAATCGAACGATTATTGGATGCTGGCTTCATTCGAACTACAAGGTATATTAAATGGTTATCAAATGTAGTCCCTGTTATCAAGAAGAATGAAAAATTACGTATATGTGTTGATTTCAGAAACATAAACTTGGCAACTCCAAAAGATGAGTATCCAATGCCGATAGCCGATCAGCTGATTGATGCGGCTGCAAAACACCAAATTATGTCTTTTATGGATGGACATTCAACCTATAATCAAATTTATATAGCTGAGGAGGATATTCCAAAGACAACTTTTAGGTGTCCAGGATCGATTAGAACTTTTGAATGGGTGGTAATGTCTTTTGGGTTGAAGAATGCTGGGGCCACATATCAGCGAGCCATGAATTTTATTTTTCATAATATGCTCGGCAAGTTTATGGAGGTGTATATTGATGATGTGGTGGTGAAATCAGCAACAAGGAAAGAGTATCTAGTCCACATCAAAGCATCTTTTGAGCGGATGAGGGCTCATAAGCTAAAAATGAATCCAATAAAGTGTGCCTTTGGAGTATCGGCATGAAACTTTTTGGGTTTCTTGGTTCATCAAAGGGTATAGAGATCGATAGGAATAAAGCTAAGGCGATTATTGATGCTGGTGCGCTGAGAAGCAAGAAACAGTTGCAGAGGTTACTTAGGCAAGTGAATTATCTTAGGAGATTTATTGCTAATACAGCTGTAAAGTTACATGTGTTTTCCCCGCTACTTAAGTTGAAGCCGATGGAGGAATTCAAATGGGATAATATACATCAAAGGGCATTTGACCAGATTAAGAAATACTTGTCGAGTCCTCCTGTCATGATGCCACCAAGGAAGAAATGGTCGATGAAATTATATTTATCGGTTGCTAAATAATCCATTGGAGCTATGTTAACACAAGAGAATAAAGCAGGAAGTGAACAAACAATATATTATCTGAGTCAAGTTTTAACTCCAGTCGAGTGTAGATATACACCGATTGAGAAATTATGTTTGGCTTTGTATTTTGCAGCAATGAAATTAAGAGTCCATATGTTGCATGTTTTGGTTTACATTGTTTGTCAAACAGATCTTATAAAGTATATGCTATCAAGGCCATTAATCACAGGCCGAATTGGCAAAAGGGCTTTGGCACTAATGGAGTTCAACTTTGCATATGTTTCACAAAAGGCAATTAAGGGAAGAGCATTGGCAGATTTTCTTGCCGATCATCCCTTGCCTGAAATTGAGTCATAAGTATTTGATGAGCTTGACTCGGCAGCCATATTCATGACCCTTTGGACATTAATGTTTGATGGGTCGAGTACCAGTGAAGGGTCAGGAGCTGGCATTGTACTAATATCCCCAACAGGGAATCAAATTTCATTTTCTTTCTTTTTGGATTTCAGGTGCTCAAATAATCAAGCCGAGTATGAAGCATTGATTATCGGCTTGGAAATTCTGCTAGAAATGGCAGTCAAAGACGTCCACATTGTGGGAGATTCGAGTTTAGTAATTAATCGAATCTCAGAAGACTTTAGATACTTGAATTGACAATTAAGACCATTCCATTCATTGGCAACCCAATTGGTCAACCAATTTCATAATGTAACTTTGGAATATAGACCAAGGGCCATGAATAAAATAACTAATGATTTAGCACAGACTGCTTCAAGAGTCAGGGTGCCGAGTGGTATGAAGGAAAGGATAATGAAGATTACACGCCGATCTCTTCCATCGGCTGAAGCAAGAAATCAAATCATGGAAGAAGTTTTTGCCACTGATGTTGCCAAGTTGGATGATGATGATTGGCGAATTCCTTACATCTTGTTTTTGCAACATCTAACTCTAGAAGCCGATCGAAGAATAAAAAGAAGTGCAGTCGATTATGTGCTTATGGATGGAGATCTTTATAGAAGATCGGCTGATGATGGTTTGTTATTTTAGTGTATTAGTAAGTTTGAGGGTTTGAAGATTATGGCCGAGGTACATGAAGGGATATGTGGAGCTTACCAAGTTGGCATAAAGATGAGATGGTTAATACCACGATATGGATATTATTGGCCTGGAATAAGAAAAGATTGTATGACTTATGCAAAAAGTTGTATAGACTATCAAAAACATGGTCCAATGCAGTGGGTTCCAGCAATAGAGATGCAATTACTAGTTAAACCATGGCTTTTCAGAGGTTGGGCTATAGATCTAATCGGCAAGATTAATCCTCCTTCATCAAAGAGTCATCATTGGATTATTTTAGCTACCGATTATTTTACTAAGTGGGTTGAAGCCGAGGAATATGTCTTAGTAACTCACAACACGGTGATACAGTTTTTGGAGCGACATATCTTTTATCGATTTGGTTTACCCAAAACAATTGTTACCGATAATGGATCTGTGTTTTGAGCAAATGAAGTATTACAACTCGGCATTTATATGCAAGTAAAGATGGTAACTTCAACACCCTATTATGCTTAAGAGAATGGCCAAGCAGAGGCTTTAAATAAAGTCGTTATTAAAATTATTGAGAAAATGATAAAAGACAAACCAAGGCGTTGGCATGAAACCCTTTTGGAAGCTTTGTGGGCTTACAGAAATTCAAAGCAAATAAGTACAGGTACAACTCCTTATCGGCTTACATTTGGCCATGATGCTGTCCTGCCGATGGAGTTAAATGTAAAATCGACAAGAGTAGCCTTACAACACAATCTTATACCTGCCGATTACAACGAATCTATGCTTGCTGAGTTAGAAGATTTGGATGAAGTCCAAAAACTTGCTTTGGACCACCTTATGGTCCATAAAGCAAAAGTAATGAAAGCTTACAACAAACGGGTGAAGTTCAAGTCATTTGCAGAGGGTGATACGGTTTGGCAAACAATTCTTTCACTTGGAAAGGTGGATAGAGTTTATGGCAAGTGGTCACCTACTTGGAAGGGTCCATATTTGGTTCATCAAGTATTACATGGAGGAGCGTACAGGTTAAAAGATCTAGATGGTGGAATCCATGAGAGACTAATAAATGGAAGGTACCTCAAAAAATATAAGCCAATTATTTTTGAACTTATGGAGGAAAAGAAAACCTTCACTAAGTAAAAATAGTTTGGATTATATTTATTCGGTTTTGTTTGTAAGTTTGTTTTGAAGTAATAAATTTGATGCATTAAAATAAAAGGCAGTTATAGCAGAGAGTTCCAAAACCATATTACATGCCCAAAAGGTCAAATTGTTCATAAAAACACAAATGTTCAAGACTGTTTAAAACTTTCGTAAAGATCTTCAAATTTGACCTTCAAATCGGCCCATAATGTCTTGGTTTTGGTGAGCTTCACTTCCGCTTGTTTCTTCGACTGTTCCAGCTTCACTATTTGAACCTGAAGCGCTTTGAATCTGGGTGCGTCACATTCAGTTTGTTTCCTCAGATTGGTCACCTTGTTGTCAAGCTGGGCTTTATCTTGTTGAAGCCGAGCGAATTCTGCCTGCAGTTTTTGCTCCCTGACCTCCAAATCAGCAGCTTTCTTCTTCACGGACAGATGAAGTTCTCTCCCACACTTTAAAGATTGAGAAAGTTTTTCTTTTTCTTGGTTCTGGGCAGCACATTGGTTGATGGTTTGAGTGGAATTAGCATAGGAAGCGATCATGGAGGGAACTTGAAGCTGCAAATTCTTGAAAAAGGATTGACCATTTAAAGAAAATCCTGGGTAGCTACTCAAGAAGGAGAGGGTCTCGGTAAGTTCCGTTTTGAAGGAGGAAATCGAAGACAAGTCTTGCTGCAACATCTGAGACAATAAATGAATGGTTTTTGTTATTTCCAAGGGAGTTTCAGAGATTTATTCGGTTGCAGGGGGTTCAAGAATAGATAAATCAAATACTAATTCAAATAAATAATCAAGGGTTGCGAAAGGGGAACTTGGGTGGATACTGGTAGGAATAGATGGAGAAGCCGGGTCTTTGTGTACCTGAAATATTATGGCCAGTCTCAATCCTTATAAGTTTAAATAAGTAAGTTATGTAGATCAAGACTTACTTCATCAGAATCCCCAACTTGTTCCTTCACGACAGCTACAGTTGGGTGTTTAACAGAAGTTAGAGAAATTGGTGTTGGAGAGGACCTTTGTTCCTTTCCCACTGACATTTCCATTTTTTCATCAATACTGTGGCTTGTCTGTGGAGTTCTCTGGGAATAATACCGATTCAGTCATTGCAATTAAATAAAGATGTGATGTGAAAATCAGGCATAGAGGAGTATTACCGGAGGGGTTTCGGAGACGGGTTTCCTCTTCTTAGACATGACTTCATCTTCATCTAAGTCATCATCATTAATCAAGATAAAGTGTCTCTTGGCTCGGGATTTCTTGACAGGTTTTTTTCCAACAGTTTTCTTTATTGTCTTTTTCTGATAAAGTAATGTTAGCAAAGGAAATGGTGTGCATTAAGAGAATAAAGGTGAATTAAGTGTGAGTGTTACCTGAGTAGTAGCCGGGGATGGGGGTATGCTTTGAAGAGGGACATGAAAATCGATTTGCGTTTCCTCAGACTTGGTGGGTACTGATTACTCGAGTACATTTGAGTGGGTGCCTGAAATTATATGAGTAAGCATAGAAACAAAATATAAGCTTATATTTGAAGGTTAAAGGTGTAGAACTTACTCTGTTGGGAACGAGACCTGGTCCTGCTTGCAGGAGCAGCGGGAGGAGGATGATTTGGCGTTGGGTCATTGTGCTTTCTGGTTCAGGAGGGGTAGTAAGAACAACAGGATCAATTGAGTCTACGCCTTGAAAACTGAGGGAAATAAATTTGTAGGAACCAAGAAGGTTGCATATAAGCTGGTTGGAATGTACAGTCCTAGTGAAGTTGATATATGATGACCACCAAGTCTCAAAGGCTGGTTAGTATGTGGTTCTTTGTGATACCCCTCGGATCCGAGACACGGGTTGATCAGGCCCAGGCCCAAACCCGAGGGAATATTAAACAATTAAAGTATTTTAGAACACAGATGACAAAATGAAATAATAAAGATGGAATAAAACTAAAAGAACATTTAATTAAAAAAACCCTCCATGCATAACTAAAAAATAAAACTCCAATCCTCCAAAACTTCAAGGTTACAACTTGGGAATCCACTGGTGGACCCCTAACCAAAAGTTCAACTGAAACTGAAAACTGAAAATAGATAATGCTAGAAATATCGAGAGAAGTCCTACGTAATCAGATGAATGTGGGACTGTCCTTGACAAGCACGATCAAGCTCTAAGGCTGGAACCGTCCTGTACCTGAAAAGAATAATAAAGGAGTGGGTCAGACCCACGAGCAAGTTCTAATCTAACTGTAATCCATACAGTGACCCGATACGCAGATACACCGTAGACATCTCACAATATCTATCTAGTCCATACGTATAAATATATCCACACTAAGGGACATTCACTAGTCTATAATAGGGGTCTCAACCTGAATAGAAGGCAACATGCGAATACGCACCCAAAGGTGGGCATGAGTACCTAGACCTAACAGGGTACACCTCAACCTATTATAACCAGTTACGCATCCACCGCATATACGCACCCTAACTAACGAGTCTGAGACTCAAGCTCAACTCGTGGTACTATAAACATATATATAAAGTCCGTCCAAATCCAGGGTATGTAATTCAACTATTTATTAAACTGACATACAATAAACCAACTAGTTAGTCACTCAACTTATTCAGTGGATATGACATAACTACCATCCGTTAATCCAGGAAGTCATCCAACTTGGTTACAGCTGATCTGACTTAGTCACAATTAGGATTCGATATCTTTCAATCCATTCCATCAATCCATTAGGTTAGGTTTATGCATTTTGAGCCAAACCGTCCCTAGTATGTCACCGTCCCATACCGGTACATACAATCCTCCACATCCATGTAAATTACAACATATATATCAGTTCAATAATTTACAGACCAAAAACCACCATCCAAATAATTGCAGAAGGAATCTTAACAATCTAGCAATTAAAATCCAGTAGTAATCCATGTAATTGCATCGAAGAATGAAACTATTCTAACAATTAACATCCAACACATGCATAGTTCAAATTTAATAAAACAATGACCCTATCATGTATTTAAAATTAGTTCTATAATAATATTATAGTCCAATAAATCGCTAAATTAATCTAAGCGATCTAGTTCCTTCCATCCGGTAACAGAGTACTAAGTTATATACTTATGTTTTGTTGTATCCTTTAGCACAGAGCCCCCACTATGCCACAAGTCTAATATATTACTTTAAAAGACTTCATCGTGCATCTAAAATAAATTTAAACTCATTTTATAGCACCCTAAACCATCAGATTAAAATTAGTCAACAAATCTCCTTTCAACCGTTAACTGTACGCAAAGTTGTCAAATAGCATACTGTTAATTTCATTAATCCCAAGAGGGTATTTGATGCAATTCAAGACCTTAATTACATCATAAATTATTTACTAAAAAGCCCATTAAATTTTTAAAACTGTTCAAGAACCACAAGTGCCCAAACAGTAGCCAAAAAACACTGTACGCATCAAAAAATGAAAGAGCCTGCTCTAGAAAAATAGAGCAGGCTCTAAATCAGCATAGAGCCGGCTCTACCACCACCTTAAAGCCGGCTCTAAATAGGTGGGAGCCGGCTCTTGGTATTCCAGAGCCGGCTCTCTCTCCCCCTGCGAGCTTCCCCTCCATTTCAGCTTCGTTCTGACCTCTGTTGCAACTCCGGCCAGTTGCAATCTTTCTGTTGGGTTTTAAAACTAATTTAAGAGTCATATTTAAGCCTAATAGCATCCCCAAGACTTTATTACAATAATTTGAAACCAATTACAGAGATTAACTGAAGCCATTAAATTGGTATGCTTGAAGGACAACACTGAAAATTAATTTAAGAAAATTTCAGTTCTCTTCCAAACCCTCTGTTCCCCTTTATCACTGAACCTAAAGATCTTATATCAATCCCAATAACATCCCCATGGTTCATTTTACAGAGATTAAAAACAATTCCAAAGACTAAAGTTACAACAGAGCAACATGCTTAAAGAAACAGAAAACTGAAACGAGATATGCATGAACTGTAACAGATTGATTTTTCAACATAACAGACCATACACATGACATACATTAAGCATATATCTTCTAGTTATTGATTGGTTAAACCTTAGAGATTATCTAGGTGCATAGAACACGAGCCAAAGAGAAGGAGAAAGAGAAGAACTTGCCTTTGAGTTTCAGACTTGAAACTCTAAGTTCCCAGTTTCTGTATTTCCCGTTCAATTCCCCACTGCTGTTCCACAAACCCACGTTCCTTCTACCTTACTCCCACCTATCCTTCCTCTCCCATCTCTCTCTATTCTCCCTCTGTATCCCACGGTCTCTGTTTTTTTTTTTTTTATTACAGAAATTACGTTTAATTATTCTAAAACCCTAAACCACCGTGACACACATACTTATAGGCTTAATGATTAAACCCTAATCCATGTATAACTTGGCCTATAAAAACCTAGGTTATACTCACTGTCGGCCAATGATAAATCCTAAAACCCCAAATTTAGATAAATAAAATAATTACACCGTGAAAAACTTAAACATTTAAATTAAACCAATTAAATTAAATTAAGTCAATTTAAAACAACCCATTAACATAAAAATGAAAAATACTCAATTAATCAATTCAAACAAAACCAAAACCAAAACCAATTAAAAAATAACAACTAAATAAAATCACAATTAATTTAAACATTCCAGCAAGCAAATAATCAATCAAATAAAATAAAATGCAATTAAACAATTAAATAAAATAATTAAACCAAATAATCATGCAAAAATACAATAAAAATTATAAATAAATGCCGAGACTATCATTTTAAAATTAGGGGTATTACATTCTTCCACAAAAGGGCTTGTAATGAAATTCTTGAAAGTGCTGAGTGAATTGGTTGGTTACATCCTGAAATTGTTCACTATTCGAAAGCTTGACCCGCCGATGATAGTTTTTGTTGTAAGAAAAGTGGGGTGGTATTGGGATCATTTGGGTCAATCCGAATTGCCGAGCTAGCTGAGCTGGATTATAAAATTCTAC